CTTCATGTCCCGCCATAGCCAGTCCCGGCGGAGGTTTCCAAAAGCTAACTGTAGTTTAGCGGGCTGAGCAAAAAGAGCTGTACCCTGGATAGCGTTCAGCAATTTTGCATTTGACACATAGTCAGTCTGGGTATGCTCATTGGTTACTTTGGAGCGTCCGTTGTTCGTCGAATCAATCAGGAGGGTGCAGGTCGATAACCAGATAAGAAGAAGCAGGGTTGTATTGCAGGTAATGTTGAGCGTGCCCGGTAGATTTTCTTGTAGATAAGATAGAAGGACTGGGGCACAGCCTCGATCAAAGATGGGTGCTTTTGCTAGGATGTCTTTCAGAGGGTAACCGGACAGAGAATTCTGTAATTCTACTCGCATGCGGTTGCTGATAAGCCTTGCTTTCAGTGTGTCAACACAGCTATTAGGGATGAAGAAATGCTCCTCCTTGTAGGGATTGAACTCTTCTTCTTCCTTCCCTTTTGATGAGAGGTCTAGCGGGGATCGTGGAGGTTTGACTGCCAGGCTGTCATCCATAACCTCCAGTCCATTCCAGTCCAGAATGCTGTTAACACCGCAGCACTTAAAGCTCCTCTGTAGGGCACCCATTCTCAGCATTATGCTGTGTCTAGCTGTGGAATCTAATTAATACGTAACAGAAAAAACTTTAACGCCTTGTAAATATGACGCCCCATATTAATTATTAGAGTACAAATCAAAGCCTACGCCAATTATTAAAAGCGCCATTTTTCAGTCTGACAGTCCCGTAGCTCCACTTCTAGGTCACATGAGTTTTCCTATTTCATTAATCATCTTTCCCAAATCATATTTTATGTGGCCGTAGCCGATCGCTGAGCATCCACCTACCGATCTTAGAAAACTGGACTTCTAACCGACATGTTGCCAGTTTCGGCCTTTAGTTGCACACCAGCTCTGGTTGAGAAGTGCTGAGTGATGATGACTAATAAGCCAGAATCGGCCATTCCAGTTTCCCTCCACTTTTTCGGTAAATGTTAAGGGGTTTGTGCAGATTTGCTTAATTTTAGTTGAATTTCAGTTGCCACAAAACTCGCGGCTTCGGCGAGAGTCGAACCCGCACATTAGGGAAGGCCTTCACGCAGACAACGCTCTACTGATGTGAGCTACGACGCCATGCCTTGCGCCGTGAATTTGTTCACCCTTGGATCGATTTTACTTATCAGGCCGCGGTTTAGATACGAGCTGTAGTCAGAAGCCTGAAAATGGACCAGAGCCTAAGGTAACATTAACGAATGGACGCGATGTGTCTTATACCAAGTGCCAAGCTAGCAGAACATGTGGCTTACAGCGGTTATCGTTATGCGTCCCTCAAAATGCTGGTTAACGACATGTAGGGCGCTGGTGTTTGTAGTTCTCCAATTCCGGTGGTCGTATGCCTAGATTCATGCTGGGCTTATATGACACTTAGGATGCTACATGATGTTTTACTTCAATTCTGTTATATGCGTCTCCTGCGTTTAGTTAATCGATTTTCGACCTCCCGAGAGGAGATTTTTGGTGCAATTATACACCTTTCAAAGTGCAAGACCGTGGAGGAGCCCACGGACCGTGCCACTGACTCGGCCAACGGCCTTGCTACTGGCATTTTCATGCAGGATCTGGACAAGGTTTTGTATGCAATGTATTTCCTTTGTGCTGGATTTGTGTGGTAAGTGGATTAAAGTTAATTTTTCAAAACTGCACCTTCAACTGCGGCCTTTTTAGCAATCTGGATGTAATCAATTCTGCTAGCTGATGGATGCAGCCTTTTGATGATCAGGACGGGAGGCTAGAGCGTCGTTGTTTATCCACATGTAGTGACTGCAAATTGGTAGGACACGAAAATAGGAACTCCCTCCTTCCACGATTGCGGGTGGCTGAATGCCAGGAAGGATACCTTTTCTTTTATGGTAAAAATTACTAAAAAGCACTGTCACTCTTGTCGGCTACTGTGAAAACTTCTGCTGCCATTACTTCTACAAATAATAATTAAGCTGCTATAACTTATGCTACCAGTAGTTTTACTCATACAAACAATACTACGGAAGCAAACACTACTGCATTAAGTAAGAAGCTAGAAATGTTACTATGGCGAATACTATTCTTTTTATTACTGTTTCTGCTGCTGTTATCAAAACAAATATGACTAATACTACTTCTATTTCTTATGCAGTTACTACTTCAATTACTCGGGAGGTGTTTTGTGCTATACTGAAACGTTAACCGAGATTTTTTTAATTCGTGGCCGAACCAGTTGAGCTGCTGAAGTTGGCGATCCCTTCCGAAATCTATAGGTTCCAAAATAATATCCTCTATGTGGCTTTATTAAATCTCGATGCGGTGACTTATAAAATATGTTGTTAACTGAAAATTTTCACAACCGCCACCGGCTTATATTTTTTTTCAAATACAGGTGTCTATATGTATTCTCCCCTTTGAAGAAACATTCATACACTTAAGTTTTTTTGAGATTCTTTCAAACTTTGACACAGTCGGTCGGCATTTATGCTTTTAGCCCTCTGCAGAATTAACTCACTTCCATCTTCTTCTATAATTCGTCGTCCCGCAGTCCCGCTTTATACTCCATTTGAAAAAAAACTTTCCCGGCCATTCTTTGGTTACATAATATGACGTCATTGTTGTTTCTGGGCCCAAGGAAACTTTTTCCATATTTCTAACGGAGTCTGTCCGACTGGACAGTTATATCATATCGTTTATCATAAACATGCTGACTTTTTGACGGTAGAATCAGTGCGATTGCATATTTTGGGTAATTAGGCTTATCCCTTGAGGCGACTGTATATATTGCTTCCAGCCACTGAGCAGTGAATAACTCAACAGCGAATTCTGGTGCGTTGATGGATTCATCTATTACGGTTAAAAGCAATTTTCCACACTCAAGGCAGTGCCTACCGAATAGAAAGAGAGTAATAAAAAGTTGACTCAGGGATTTACCAAATAGGAATAAAAGTTTTCAAAAGTGGAGCAAATTATTTATCCAAATTCACCAAAAGTAAACGTATATAACAAGATCCCGGTAGTCCTCTGTTGGATTCTAGATTGGTTGATTAGAACATCCGGCTTGGATGGTTAGCATACTATTATGTTCACTGATTTAGCCTGTTTATAGTTCCAATAAAGAGCTTTACGCCACAACTTGCAAGTTAAGTCTAGAGCCCTCGTATTTTCTTATCTTCGCTCTCCTTCTTTTCTGGCCTAGATTTTTGAGTTTCCAGGACGGAGTAGTCACTGGTGGATTGACATCCTACTCTGGTCAACAAGCACCAAACTCTCATCAGAGGGTGTGTCTAGCACAGCGGCTGGCGGAAAAACCCTGATCAATGTGGCCTTTGTTCCTCTTCATCACAAGTCAACTGACCAACTCAGACAGCGATTGAGACCGAGGGCTCAACGCCTTTTTCTCACTAAAAAAACAATCAGATGCGCAGCTATCTCTCATGGTGCGCTAAAAGTCGTGGCTTTGACGGTTACCAATGGAGGGCATAAATAGCACGGCGTTTGTGGGGAGTGGCCGACTGTCGGATTATGGGTCAGGTTGCAATGGCCTATTCTAAATGTGGCCTTTACGGCCCTCCCACTCCGCGGCATCCGAGCCTAATGTGGCAGCACGCCTAGGAGTGAAGTCAGCCGTGCCAGCCCCCTGCCCTTACTCCTGCCGCCGACCACTTAGACTTGGTCTTGAGACCGGGCCGAAGTGAGGAGACAGGCAGACAATGCGGTTGATGCAGCGCAAGTCTGTTATCACTAAAACCTAATTCGCATGCAATTTATCGTCACTGTGACGCCTTACAATGGTGAACTTGGTGGACCGCCTCAGGTAGGACAGTTGAACTCTCCTATGCGGAGATTATATTCCGGTCTGTTTTAGCAGTGGAATTGTTACAAATAAAATATGCAAATCGCTGTCATCGAGAAAACAGGAGAAAGGGAATATCGTTCGATTGTTGATGTCAACGAACTCACATCAGAAAGTGCGAGGGTAAAATGAGGCAGCGAAATTCGGACTTAATGTGGCAAAAGTAATTTAAGTAGTGCACCTCATAAACCCCCAATACCAGGATTTTGTCCTAGAGAAACGGTGGTTATAGGGGGTTTTAGGTGGAAAAGTAAGATAAGCAGTGAAGGGAATATGAAGAAGTAAGCGTAAAGTGGAAGAATGCAGTTAAATTTGTTTCTTGTGGCCGTTGGCAGTAAGTTGTTCCGCGTGTAAAGCGAAGGTTTGCGCGGCGCTTGGCTGTAAGTTAGGCATCAGATAACTTGAAGTAGACGACCTCCTAACCACAATTTATGTTTTTTCAGGCAGTTCAAGAAAAGCATATTTTGACAATCGGCTTTTTTCGCAATACTATAAACGATAATACATATTAGGCAAATCTACGGATATAAATCAACAACCTTTCTAAAAACAATAAAACCAAAGTGTATATAGCAGTTATTAAAGTATATTCCCCTGCCTATCTCAATTCTCCACCCATAAAACCCATATAACCAACGTTTACGTAGGACAGGATGCTGGGAATAGGGGTACAAAATAGGTGCACCACTTAAATTACTGTTGTCCTTAATTTTAGAAGATCTAAATTTAATTAATCTATCTATTTATTTTTAGCCACGAAACTGCCGACGTTTTTTAAATGCATTCGCCTCCCTCCCAATATATTACGCTGTTGCTACTTTCTATGTGTGTACAGGGTGTCCCAGAAGTAACTGACGCTTTTGCTTCGCTAATAAAACGAAAACTATTAATGTTAGGATATTGAAACTTGTTTTATTCGAAGGACATAATTCTAGAATTTGGTGCGATGAAAATCCAAGAGAAATTCAAGAAAGGCCGCTGCATTCTCTTCGTGTGACTATTTGGTGCGGAATAACTGCTTCCAATGTGATTGGCCCATACATTTTTGAAAATAATGATGGTGCAACAGTAACAGTTAATGGTGAAAGATACCGAACTATGATTAGCGAATTTCTAATTTCCGAAATTGAGAGCCATGGCCTACGCAATACTTGGTTTCAACAGGATGAAGCCACGGCCCATACAG